CCCCCCCCCGGGGGACCGTCGAGCGGTATCACGGCGTAGTCGCAGGACGCAGAGTTCAAATCGAGTCATCCTGGGGCATGGGGAGCCTGTCCTGAAAGGTCAAGAGCAGAAATATCAAATGGACGACTGACTGAATTAGGAATTCCCCCTTGAAGGGGGCTCCTCATATGCGGGAATTCGGGGGATGTGCATCGTGGTCCTGAATGTTTATCGAGGTGCACCTTTTCGTCAGTGCGGATCGAAGAAGTAGCGCAAGATTCCGAGATTAGACTTGAATGGCGAACAGAGCTTCGTACAGAGATATGAGTATTCGCTCTCTCATTCAGACCGACTTGCAGCTACAAACGCGGCTTCGGTACTGAGTGAGCAAACATCGCTAGCTCCGTGAATTCGTGAAACTCGATTCCAGCGTGTATTCTCGGAGAGGAAACTCCCCAGAATATCTCCGCCCAGAATCTGACTTCAAACTCCTGAGTTCCCTCCGACACCGCTCGAAACTTGTTGCTTTTCGAGGCAGAATGAGTTCGTCGGGATACACCGGGGTAGGCCCCCAGCATCGACGTCCCTTCCTCAAGGGAAAAGGTGTCCTGCGAAAAGTGATCGCGGAAGTGTTGCGACAGAAAAGGTACATCGGGTGCGCAGGGTGCTGTATAGCAGCCGCCATCGTCTTTCAGATTATAGCAACTCGAGAGACCGCGAAACACTCCGGCCTCTCTTTCGAGAATTTGGAGAAGCCTCCGAGACGCCTGCGTGAGGCATCCGTGAAAGAAATGAACTTGATCCGGTACTTGACTCAAAAGGTCGAACAGACGGTAAATACACGTAGCATAGTCATTGAGCTTATTAACTGTGACATTCGACACCGGTTCGAGGATTCACTACATCATCTCTTGACCCGGGACGTGGAGAATTTCAAGGCAGACGATAGCTTCGCTTCCGAAAGCAGAGATCGACGCATGCCTAGGGTTGCTTTCCTCTGCTACGATTACACAGCGTTCACGAAAAACCGTCCATACGTGGACCCTCCCCGCAGCAAGTCTTCTCTACTCCGGCGCATGAATGCGACTGATTTGTTGGTTGTCATCACACGAAGCCTTGTGCCGTCAATCTTCATGTCGGAAGCGTTGCAACAATTCCCGAGCGATTTCAGGGAAATAATCCTCGCTGATACTCTTACTGACAAACCATCCGACTCAATCAATAGCTGCACCAGGAGGATCCTTCTCAAGATGCCCTTTGGCTTCAGAATGAGTCTAGAGACTGGTCGTCGACCGCGTGACATAAGATCATGTCTCTCCGATTGGACGACCGACCATAAAGTCAGATCGTGTTCCTCGAAGCTCACGAAAGAGCAATACATCAAACATTTGGTTTTTCTGAAAAGAGCAGACAGCGTACTGAGGATTCACTTCGTCAGCGAAACTACGCCATGTTTCAACAAGTCCCTGGACTTTTCATATTCAGATGTCCCACCGCGGGACTCGATCGAATTGCCTCTGCTAATGCAAAACGACGTATTCGCTTACACAGTAGATCGGAAACTCCCCGTGCACGGAATTCAGGGACACGTCCTAAACAGACATGTATTGAGCATAATGATCTTGCTCGGAACTTCAATTTGGTTTTTGAGCGATACGCCGTTTACGGAAACGTTCCTCGACATCATGTGTACATTCTCGAATTCTGCTCAATATTCTAGCTGCGTGAAACAGCGTATCTCGATAGCGGCATCGATGTGGATTTTAGGAAATTTGTTTTTTTCATTCATCCTCGTCGATGACATGACCTCCGCCATAAGCATGCCGGGTGGGCCACGCATCTTGAGATTCTCGGAGTGTAAGTCGCAGCGGTACATGATGAATTCCGGAAGGGAGTTTTTCGTTCGATCCGTGAAGATTGCATGGCTCGGATTTTACCACACACTCGATCTGATGAAAGTCAATATGATATACTGCGGCACGAAGCTCGAGATGGACGAGTTCCGGAACTTTTTCGACTTGGCAAACATTTATCAAATCAAGCTGCAGAAATACGGAAGAGAGTGGATCATGCATCCTATCCTGCTACCCGAGACCGGATGCCCTCCCGACGTTAAAGCAGCTAAGTGTGAAGTAGTACGCTCGTCCATAGATAACTCCGAATGGAACGAATACGCAATCGTAATGCTGCGGTACGATCTTCTGAAAGCACCGATCCTTACTGAAGAACGGCTCAAGATACGCCGCGACCAGAAACGTGTTCGCCGTCGCCATGGATGCTGCGGGAAAATGAGCAGGAGGTTGGCGGAAATCCTCGAATGGATGGGACGTACACCGAACACTCAGTTTCGATCGCACTCCGAGGCTCCCATAAAACTTTTGGTGATCGGCTTCAGCGTTGCTTTCATCGTCCTGCTCCTCCAGATCGTGCCCGGCCTCACTCTTCGAGTTTTCAATCGCTGTAAGCATCCAGACCTGACTCGAAAGTCGCCTGGAAGGACCAATACCTAGCAACAATGGTGTTGAGGACATACTTCTCTCTCTGCATCTGAGAGAGGAAATATCGAACTAGCCGGAACAGGGGAAAGTTAATTTCCGGACGCTCTGCGGGAATATTGTTGATATTCCTCGGAGAAAATCAGAGCGGAAGCCAGAGCAACCGCGTTGCTTATTCTTTCGGGTAGTGTGGAGTATGGAGAGGGAGAATATCGAGGCTGGGGGGAACGTGAATTCGAACTTCATGAGACGAAAGGGTCCAAGTCTCCAAAGGAGGACTAGTGTAGGCCAAATCAATCCGCCCACTCTATGCCCGGAAAGTAGCGGATTACACGACCTCCGCCACTGGGGGAACTGCGGGCATATAATTCGATAATATAGGAAACGAGAATGAGGTTCCTGTGCCTTTCGACCTAGTTTTCGGGAGAAGGTTCCCCCCAAAGGGTGCGGACGATGTTCGTATTGAATAGAGAGAACATGAGGAAGTCTCTCAGGATGAATTCGGTAGGGTTCCACCTAACGAGAAGGGCGAAGACCTTAAGATCCGCCCGAAAGTTGCAGTCATACCTGGCGGCTCGAACGGTTTTGTCTACCATTGGATATTCCGGTCAATAAGCCGTCCGAGCATAATCTCAGAGGAGTGCGGCACAGAAGGATATCTGACAGAGTCAAGGCTGATGAAGGGTTCCGGAAAGAGCTCGGAGATTCTACGGGGAATTCAGAGCCCTGCGAGGCAGCCGAGTAAGAAGACGTTGAGGGTGTGTATGTGAGAGATGACGATGACGTCGGATACGGTTTGAAAGAGGGGCTCGAAAGGGGATCGGAAGAGGATCGCCTTGGAGAAAACGGAGATAATCCCGCGGAAGAAATCTTCGGGGACGAAGATTGCTCCGAGATAGCCAACGAGTAATATTCATCGGACCGACACACAGAAACTCCTTAAGGCCCGGCTTGGGCCGACGAAGACGGCTCAACAACAGGGTTCGGTCAGTACCGAGCTCAGTGACAGGGCGTTGCTTCGTATGTTCCCTTCGGAACTATGACCTTTCGCCAATGCAGACTTACTCTTCGAGACGTCTACAAACCTTGTATCGTATAAGGAAGCTTTGTAGCGAACTTGAATTTATCGGCAGAGTCCACTCGCCTAATATTTTCGGGAGAGAGCAGTGCATCGAAAATTGTTTCAATAAACATCTTCAATCAATGCATGTCTCCTAGCATCATCCAATCCGCGCTTCATTGCCGGATAGGCTCCTCTTCTGCCAGACCCTATATCTGCTACACTCCTCATGGTCATACGCGATGTTCGTCATGCTGGGTGACCGTTTCTCATTGGGCCCGCTATCCGAGGCTTCGTCGATGTGCGACAAAAGTTATCCGCCTCGTTCCTCACCTGAGACGGCCCTCATCTGCTTAGCCACCCCTACTAACTCCCCCCCCCCCCTACTAACTAAAGCGGAATGTCTGTCTGTCAGTTCGCACCTCATCCACTGCTCCGCCCGATGATTCCATTCTGATTATGCGTGCGATCGATACGGGCTCCGTCGTCCTTTGCCTATGTGAATTTTTCAGCATTCCTGCGGGCCTTTCCTCAGAAACACGCGGAAAACTCCTAGTTTTTCCCCAGAAATGGCTGTCTCATGACGTCATGGTAGATTCAAGATGCCGGAGTAGCGCTGCACTTAAGGCGGAATTTGAAATTGTCATCGATTGAGATCGAGCTCTTCCGATGGCTGCAGGCCTTCATTCTTGATTCCAGGCGTTTTTCTGGACTATTTGCTGTCCCGATACTCGCATCAATCCTTCGTCTCCCTGAACGCTAGCCGAAACCCGAGACGCTCAATCATGATGATGCAATGGGTGGAGATGTGAATCATAGCCACCAAGTTTTAGGGATGAATTTCCTCCCAAAAAACCATTTCCGAGCCTCATGATTCAGCTTTTCGGAGCCTCATAGTTCGGACTCGAAACTATACTTTGGGCGTTGATTCAAATATTTGAAAAGCACCGATACCTGTTATTGCTGACGAGCCGGGCTGCTTCTTATATGAAGACGGCTTACCCTTCTTATGTCCGTGGGGATCTACATCTCTCCGGCACTATATCTGTAACGGTCGAGATCTACCGGTTCCCTTATGTGGAACCTCCCAATCTATGAATTTCGTTGTGATACCTCGCATGAGTCGGATTTTCGGTAACGTAGGCTTCCTTATATTTGGGAT